TTTTTATCACTGCTTAATGAATAATCCAGAGTAAAGTATTTACATATTAAACCAACAGTATACAATGCTCGTAATACTGATGGTCTAGTTCTAGATGATATTCGCGCAGAAGTACTTATTTTAGTGGAAAGGCTTCTCGTAGTTCCAATGAAAGATCAGTAAGAAGACCTGGAAATCACCAAAAACAACCAATGAGTGGATATGAAAGATTCCTTAGTACAACAAAAGGAACACTGATTATAGGCAACAAAAAACTTATTAGAACATACTATATCAGTTCAAGAGTTAAGTTATATGTAATGGGTAAATATATCCAAAATATACAGCCTCCCTTACGTGTTAAGATGTGATTCATTGGTTACAGAACTCAACTTCCTAGCAGTGAGTCCTGGGTTCAAATCGCACTCCGTCTACTCAGACTTGGACAACAGAGTAATATAATAAGCCTTCATACATCAAGAGTGGATCACAACAACATATTACAAATATCGTTGCCAGACTGCATAGTGCTAAAAACTCATAACGTCTTCAAAGTTACAAACGTATTTTGAATATTTTGAGTTACTGTGTAAAGCTATTCAAATCACTCATAGTTCATACGATTACCAGTAATATATTATTTTTTAGAACGAATGTGATCTGGAAACAACTTTTCGTATCTCTGGATAACATCTGGAAAGCTTATATGCACCGAAAGATGAACAAAACAGGTTACACACAAAAAAAGAAAATAGTCAGTAATGAAAACTACCTTAGAAGATGTCAATAAAACTTCAGTTGTATTTAGTCAGTAGATAACGATGACCTAACAACGGTTACTGAGACATCTTTGGCGTAGAAACTCATTGAGACTTTAAATATGTCCACTATTCTCATAGGTTATCTGCAAAGATTTACGCCTTATTGTTTTGTCAAAATTCATACAGAGAAATAATTGTTTTAAAGAAGGAAAATTACAAAATTATAAGATTAGCCAGATAGTCTGACATAAGACATCAACGATAACGACCCATCAAATAGAAGGCATCAACAACTCAGTATATATATATATATATATATATATATATATATATATATATATATATATATATATATATATATATATATATATACTGGTAATGACTTCGTACGACTGAACAATATGTAACAACAGGAAACTGCAATATGATATACTACTTGTTTGTCAAGTCTAAAGTAGGTATAGAAGTAAAACTTCGCCACCGTGGTAGATTGTAATTGTTTATTAGCAATATCACATACAGAAACAGTATCATTTACTGCATTATGTTTCGGATATAACTGATTGGAATTTAAGTGTTCGAGCCAATTAATCAAACCTTTACAGATTAAATTCATATTGGAACCGATAATCATCTTCTACACGATGTTGTTTTAAGTGTTATGAAGGAAAACCTCAAATTGTCTACATTGCATAATTTACTTGTAATTTACTGATAAGGAAGTAACAAAAAAGGCATTAACAATGTTAAGTTTATTCGACTCGAAAATATTGTTCAGTTTCATTTATCATTAAAAAATTAGTAAAGAAATGGTGACAGAGAAATAGATAATTTCCCAGTGGATTGCAAATATTACTTACTATAAAACTGTGCAAAACAGCACATAACCTGAGTTTGATCTTTTAAAACTTGATTGACAAGAACTGCTAAACATGATAAGGCTGAATCGACAACTAAACGACCTTGCCGCTGAACAAACTGAAGCAAATCACTTTGTAACTGGAAGAAGTTAGTACGCCTGAAAAGAAATAGTAAACAAGAAAAACAGAGCATGACTTTATATACACAAACTTGTTAGGTTATCAATAACTAACATAATAAAGTGCGACGTAACTAATAAATAACCTAGATGGATAAAGGGAAACCGTTATGTTGGGAAGACACTTTTTTGAGAGATACAAAAGAGTAAACGGTTAGAAGTCGTCCAATTCAGGATGGTTGAGTACAGAGATTTGTGAAGATTGAATTATTGATTTCAGGTTGGTACTCATCACGGACTGACATCAACTGAAGAAACAGTAGAAACCTAGGAACACTCGACAGTTGTTTTGAACAAGTATGGGACTGTGCACCCATGACTCCGCCCCACCACCACCAGGCATCGAATCCAGGACCTTCATGTCTCGCTACCAGCACATTAACATCGACTCACTAGGTAGGAACCCAATGGTCTGTATTTCCTACTTCTAACAGTTCATGACAGCGCAACCCTCCATCCAGTCTCATCATTGAGTATCTATCCTCATATCCGACTGGGTTGACCCCAGCGGTCACCAATTCTCATTGGGACTTCGCGAACCATCTCTCGAAGCTAGTCATGAACTGTTAGAAGTAGGAAATACAGACCATTAGGTTCCTACCTAGTGGGTCAATGTTAATGTGCTGGTAGCGAGACATGAAGGTCCTGGATTCGATGCCTGGTGGGGCGGGATCATGGGTGCGTACTGCCGAGAAGTTCCATACTAAGACCGAACAGCTGTCCAGTGCTTCCATGTTTCTAATGTTTCTTCAGCCGATGTCTATCCATGATGAATGACAACCTGAATTCAACATTGTTTTAAATGAACTGAGAGAGGGACAGATACATACCCTAGGCTTCTCGCGCACTCCAAGTTTACTGCATCCCGTAAAAACCGGCTGAGGACAGGGTACAAATATGAAATAAAAAGGATACCCAATCATATAAGTTCGTGTAGATCAAGTAAGAACAATAAACAGTCCTTTAATAAAGTGAAAGTAAATGAGCGTAAACAGTGAGTTGGGGAGACATTCTGTGTAATATAGAAATTATTACTACTTTAAGGCAACCTGGAATCCCACTAAAATCTAACAACAGTAAAGTCAGTAACTCAAATAGATTCCACAAAACAGTATTCGGTTTATAAAATGATTGTCGTATAAACAATAATGTATTGATTTGCAATCTACCGATGGCATACGACTACATGGATAATTTTGAAAATCATTATCACTACTGATTACGTCTTTTAGTGCCTAGTTTATAAAAGGCCCATATAACTTAGAATACAATATTAAAAAAGAAAGTTTGTGAGAGTGTAGTTTGTTACGAAAATTCCTATTGATCATATTAATTTTTTCTATGTATGCATTTTCTGATTCTTATCGTTTTGCTTTATGTTTAAGAATAATAAGTTTCGTTTCTTATAAAATTAGAAATAATCTCATTACCTACTGATCATTTATCTGATCCAGATAATATCGAATGGTACAAAATAAAACAGTAACTCACGGAACACCAGCAAACATAGCTTCTTCTAAAGGTGGACTATCTGATTCGCTTAAATCACATGCTATTTCAGTGAGTACAATTTCTACCACATTGATTAGATGATAAAGGCACTGAGTATTAGCTGGTTTCGTTCGGTCAGGTGCTTGTTCAGTACTGGTAAATGTTCCTGGAGCTGATAAGCATATCTTATGTAAAAGATCCATGAAAAATCCAACATAAGGTCGAATAAGATTGGGTTTGCTGTGACTGACCAAATGCAAACAAGCCATGAGACCATGAATATTAGACAAAATAGAACTTGAATGAGATGTTCGAGATTCGACTGTGTCGCCTTGTTTTAGAATCTGTTTAGAACTTGGAACCAGTAAGGGACCTGAACCATTCAATCACAGTTAAAACAATTAAAGATACATATCTGGTGATGCAGATACAAAGTTTAGATCAGAAGTAAACAAAATTCACTCTCAAATAGTTTTACTCATTCTTTAAACGAAGTAATAATTTATTGCCTTAAATTGTAAGATGCTAAAACGTGATTTAAATCCTTCTTAAATGTTAGCAAAGCATTTAAGTAATGTATAAATTCAAATCGATGATACCCAAATGAATTTTCCTTTTCATCAAACTCTAAACGCTGAAAGACTTTGTCTACTATGACTCAATGAAGCGAGATAAAGAAACAGCATCGCATGGAATCGAGTTATTAAATTCCCCTAGTAGTTGTTGGACAAACTCATACAAGCATAATTAACGACATACCTGCTTTTATCTAAACCATACTATACAGATTGTGTCAACTACTATAAACATACTGCTTTTGCTGAGAGTTGTTTTACTGAAAGGCAGATAAACTATTACGGAGAACTAACAAAGGATTAATGAGCAATAGAGACAGTTCAGAATTATCAAAAAAGTCTAGAAAGAGGTTTTTGTCAGTCCGATAAGTTATATCAATAGAATAAAGTAGTGCAAATTCCTTATTGTATACCTGGTTGGATTCAATTGGCTAAAATAATTTATTTCTTTCACTTGAATAAATTTAGCTGCATCCCTAATAGTCATATTTTTGAAGCGAAAAATTGGTTGGGAGATGTATGAACCACTGAGATGTACATGGTTGGAAGTTTAAGCTACTCATGTCTATAGCATATTTATTTGAGGTAAGATTGGACTTCTGCATCTAGCAAGAAGCCATAAAAGTGTATTTGCAAACAAAAAGTATGATTAAAAAGCATACATAGAAACTTTATTGATGCATAGCTCACTAAAACTTACCGATACGTCGTTTGATTAAAACAATCAGACGTCCAATAATCTGTTTACAAGCCGTGTCAAACTGACATCCTGCAGGATGCGAATCATCTTCAGATGAGGCCTATATGCAGGAAAAATTCTAAATGAGAACATCCTATAGAATAATGGTAGTGTTAAACATTTCAATATTTCCTTAATACATTTGAATTCAAAGTAATAAAACAATTCTAACTGATACTTACTTGGACAATAAAACTATCCAGCAGGTCAAAGTTGTTTGGTCTAAGTGTTAAAGTCACTGACGCTAAACTTATGATCCGTCGATCAAGAACTTTTGAAAAACGAGCATGAGACTTGGATATTGGAGTTAGCCACAACTCTTGAAAAACTTCAATTACCAGTTTCTGAATATTAAAAAAAATTCAAATTTATTCAACAAGAGAAAAAGTCCAGAGGATGACATATTGAACAAAATCGAAGGAAAAATGATTCAATAAGTTGTTGAATTATACTCATTTGAATAAGGATCACATGATACACTGTAATTAAATAACAACTTGTATAGTTTAGTCGGATAAAAAGTGAATGATAAAGTTGAATATTTACATACTTTAATGCTATCTTCATCATGTAGACGCCGAATCAGTTTTAAGCATATATCTGTGCAAATTTCACTTCCAATAAGGGAGAAACCATGTCGATTAGAATTTGAATTCGAAAAGTCCATAAATTTATTCCAGTCATTGAGTAACAAGTCACGAAAACATCGGATAACTCGTTTACGTACACTAAGACCTTTGTCTAAGACACGTTCCACAATAATAGAATAATATTCAGCCAGAAATTGCGGACGTAATGTCAAGAATCGACTAATCAAATCAACAGTAGCTTCTCGAACAGCAGTCGAGTTATCCAGTAAACGTGAGCGAACAATATGTGATATATCAAAAATCGGGTTCGATGAAATAATAGATTTGCCGTCATTTTCATTGATATCTTTATTTAAGCACATTAGTTTCGGATCAGCATCAATAAATAAAGCAAGACAACGTAGTGCTTTGGATCGCATAGGTACTGAAGAGTCTCCGGCTAACTGTAAATCAAAGAAGAATACACAAAGTTCATGAACAAACTAAACAAAAAACTCCAATTCTATAAACTAGATCTAAACCTTAACATAGGTGTAAAACTTGGGCACTGTCGTAGAAATTAATTCCATATTACATTTGTTTATTTGATTCATAACACACATTCATATAGTATTACTTACTTGATGACGTTTCGAGCATAGAGTATTGCTCACAATCATATCAAAGTAATCACACTACTTTCGACATTTGATTTTTATAGTTACGTCACTTTATATGAGTTGTTTTTATTGGTAGCAAAATTTTCTATATCTCTGGTATAGGTGTTGCGTCATTTCTACTACATGTGTTGAGTGTTGATTCGATGAACAAAGATTCAGTAATCCATCTCTCTCTCTCCACCTAATTATACTGGACTTAAGTACAACGGCTTTACCCCACCCTAATGTGTGGTTGTGCGTTAATGCGTGCATAGCAATAGCCGAGTTTTTTTCAAGATTATTGATCTTATTTAGGTCTGTTATTCTATATTTAGCTAAGTTCCTATGTTCGGCTACTCTAACTGACCCCGACCGACTAGTTTGACCTATATACTTGACCTCACAGTCATTACATGGTATTTGATAGATTATATTATTTTGTTTAATTGGTTCTATCGGATACTTAGGCCGACAAAGTTTATCGAAACCTAACTTTATATCAGTAAGAGTAATCATCTATAGAGAAAGACGTAAATAATAAGGGGGATTATCAATAAGATATTTTAATCGTAAGGTGAAAAAATACAAAAGATGGATCATCAACATACAAATAAATGGACAATTGAGGATTCTCAAAGCTACTAATACCTCACAAGTGAGTATGTTTATCAGATGTACCACATAGTGAAGTCATAATAAATACTGCATAATGTTTTAAATTTTTGAAAACAATTGACATTCATATAAAGATGACGATCACCGATCCTTTCACATGCAGTTAGGATCATCATCATCATCATATATATATACCCATAGACGTTCTCAAGAAAACGTTGAAAGGGACTAATACTCCAACAACCTTTTCGAAGTTTAACCTTAATGAGGAAATTGTTAATATTTGTGACGACTCTATACTACCCCTTCCGTTACTAAAAAAATCATTCACTACAACTGAGCAGTAAACAAGTGAATAACTACTGCTTAAAGCTGTCAAAGTTACATGAACAACGGGTACTTTGTTTGTTGTCAACAACCAAGGATTGATGATAGTTGGTTCACAAAAAACAGTAAAGAAATACCATATTATTTTGTAAAGTCTTGTAATCCACCTCTACGTACACCTATCAACCCTTCGCATTCGTCACCTTTATTTCTGTCTTTGTAGACAGTAGCTGAACTCTCAGCGTGTACTAATATGTACTTTACTTCGGCTGCATAAAATGTTGATCTGTCTTTTGCAGCAAGTGCATTCATGGTGAAGTCAGTAGAAATGAATGATTCAGGTCTGGTGTTTTCAATACATCAATCCAGTAGATTAGCAAGATGAATGTTATACTGAAATTTTACCCGAAAGGATTTGCCCTTTCACCTGTTACTTAGAGAAACAAGAAACTCAGGTAGTACATAAGTGTGCATATGACAGATTGACAGTCGTTCTTAAACACATCACAGCTCTGAAACATAAAGTAATATATAGTTTAAATTAAATAGAGACAAGAGTCACAGTAGTAGATTCATTTACGGTGAAGTGACTCTGGTGAAAGTGTTTTGAAGATTTACTGATTCAACATTTCTAGAAGTGTGGCAGTGATAATCACCTTAACATGCTATAGTCCAACTGCTCCTCCAGTAGGAATGTTGGTACACAAAACTAATAGTCAGGACAGCGTTAAAAAGATCAACAGAAGTGATAGTCCTTTTGAGGTTGCCATGACTTAAATGATGAGTTTCAGCTTTTAGAAAAGTGAAAGTAATTGGATCATAAAATGAGCGACTCTATGCAGTGCAGTATTAAGAACGTTGAGGAAATCTAGAGGGAAGCAAATCTTCGTGATAATTTTTTCAGAGACATTTCTTAATAAAGGTTAAATCTTCCTCTAACTTGTTCGCAAAGCATAATTCCCTAGCTCTGTTGTAAAGTGTTTTGACTGGCACACACGCTGACGGGTGTCATGACAGAAATTGTTATAGTTAAGGTATTGTTCGGTAAATATCTTTTCTATAGATGAGCTATGCAATCTTACCATCAGTTTTTTTCTCACGTTGAGGTCCAAAAAACTGAACTCGTCTTCATTTTCATATTCTTCCACCGTAAATTTAATGTTAGGATGAGCATCGTTGAGCTTGTCAAGCAACTCACTTGCATGTCTTATAACATTACAAACAACAAAGGTGGTGTATTTGCGGTAATAAGTTGTTCCTCTGGTGACGGAACCCAGGCACGTCTGATCAAGATAATACATGAAGATATCTGGTAGGAGAGGACCAATAGGTGAACCCATGGAGACTCCACCAATCTGTTTATGAAGCCGGTTATTGAATTGGAACTGCACACCTTTTGTGCAAAGCAGCAGTAGCTATTTCATTTCGATTTCGGGTAACAGTAATGGATCAGTTTGTTGACAGATTACATTAATCGTTTCACTCACTCGTATAATTTGTAAATAAGAAAGTAACATTATATGACACCACGAGCTTGTCTGGAACGTCGATGTGATCTATTTCGTGAGAAAATTCAAATGTATCTTTTGAGCTGTGGACTGACAACTTATTCTAAAGATTGTGCTTACGATTCTACCAGCTTGTGATATATTGAATTAATTACTGACATTATACGCCTCAAATGTGCATTAGATCTATGAATTTAGGGTAAACCATACGTGAAACTTTTTAAGTTCATTATATATTTCATTGTCAATCGATTTCTTCAGAAGATCTATAAGATCTCTATTTGCTTGGTTTTCAAATACTGACACAAGATGCTTTTTAGTAGCATCCAACTAGAATCTTACCGGATCACTAAGAATTATTAACATTTTATTCACATAATCATTGTTTTTCATTACGAAAACACCAGATCCTTTACCAGGTCTGAACAGAACAATATTTGCAATCAAGCGTAGTTTACGCAGTGTCAGTTTATTATCTTCGGTAAAGATTTTCAACCGTTCAGACGGTGATGCATAGTACCGGTTAGCTATGTCAACCAACCTAGACCACAGTCAACCTCTCTTATCTTCATCAACAAGCTTCGAATCTGAGAGTTGGTGGTATAGGTTTTAAAACTGGGTTTCTGCGTCTATTCGACTGATAGGCTTCACTGGGATGTGAAACTTTAATCCAAGAGATAGAGATACAGGATATTAGGTTGAAACTTCAAGTGCTTTTAAAATAATAAACGTACAAAAAATGTCTGGATTACTGCGTTTTGAGGAAGCGATCGAAATAAAACGCTTTTAACCTGACCTTTGCATACAGGAGAGTGCGGTTAATCATCCTTCTTGCTTTGTCTAAATTTATCAAGGGATCTAGATGCATGAAAATCAGAAAAATCACGCACTGATACCATGGCTTAGATCTGATCATCTGTAAATTTGTGGAAACTTAATTCAACTCCAGCTAACAGTGGATAGTAGAGTGGATGGCGGCTAGGTATGTGTAAAATATGCCTTCGCCACTTCAAGTGATGACAGCTTACGAAATCCTCCGATAATGATGGTGACTGGATTGGGATGAATTTGAATTGGATATATGTTAAGAAATATATAATGGAACTACTAATGTGACCTAGGAGACTAATTTTGTTTCATACTACATGATGATCGATCACGAAGACTTCGTCAACTTAAATCATGTTAAACGCTTCAAGTCCTAGTAAGCTCATTTAAGTCTCACACTCCTGATTATGATATCAAAAACAATCTTGGACGTAAAGTTCAGGTGAATTCTAAAAGCAGCAAGAAGCTACCCAGTAATCTAATATCTTTAGTCATTATATTAATTTGAGCTGAGAACTTTCTTCAACACCAAACTACCGATAATGTAGAACAAGGTGCTAAGAATACCTCAGTTTGAAGAAAAATACAACCATATTTAGTAATAAATGAGAATAGAATCTGTAAATTTTAAGAAATTATTGTAACAGTTCGTTGTTTAAAGGTGCATTTACTCACCTTACAAATAAAACTATAGAGAACATCGAAATTCGGTAAAATTGAATGAGCCCCAAGAAGGTAAACTGCAGAGATATGAGCATGGGCTACCAAACGAAACCGAATGCTACTGCATAACCTTGATAACTGAGTATATGTAATAAAACGTTGAGATGACATGGACTGAGCTATGAACGAACCTCCCCATCCCATACATGAACAACATATACAGTTTGTACGACCTCGTGAAGATGAATGAGGACATCCCGCACAAGTAACACCAGCGGAGGATAAGTTTTGTTTAGAATAAGAAAATCCAGGTGAAGAAACAGGTGAGTGTAAATGCGTCAGCGCAAGTTCAGCTAACAATTGGTGGCGAATTCTTTCAGTATTAGGTCTACTTTTTGTTGAATTACTAGAATGATCTCTTGCATTTCCTGTAGAAGCATCTGCACTTGTGGCTAAAGCACCTCTGCTACAATTATGCAGCCAAGCAGCAGATGAAATCTGTGAGCAGTCTGGAAAACGAAATACGTTAAAACTAATCACGAAAAAGGCTTTTAATCCAAGCATATTCAGTGCATAAAAATCACTGAAACCACTTACTATGATACAGAGAAATGCATAGAAATTTTTTTGGTCCCTACCTCTTCAAGATATCAACATATTTAAACACATAAGACGGCTGTGTGGAATCAACAGTGACAACAATACTGATTGAAGAGCACTATAGTCCTGACACTTTTCATTCTATTCAAGATGACACATAAGCGTCTCAGTTGTAGCAAGTACTTTCATTAAATTGACCTTGATGACAACTTGGACTACTGGGATGAGAAATGATTTGATTAACCTACAGGAGGTGATGGTACTAACAAACTGCACAGAATAAAGCATCCATCAAAACGAAACCTACCGTTTTAAGTAAAATACCACTTAGTTTAGATACTAGCTCTCTACTTATTAGACAATAGGTTTGAATCAACTCTACCGACCTCTTTCTCGTTAGTTAGATAGTATCATTAGATATAAACAGTTGTGATTCAAAGTTTGAACACAAGTTTTGACAAAGTTATTGTGATTCTCACAAAGATACCTTAAATAGAACTATCAACACTCATAGAGATGTAGCTCAAAACCTACTTCATGAAACTGTAGGTAGACTAAGTCTGCATTCTGACGCTTTATTATCTTCATAGGTTTTAAAAGTTGGAACAATAGGAATATTTAGGAAAAAACTTACCACTAGAAGAAAATCACAATACTTTGAACAAAGTTCAGGAAAGCGCATTATATTCTGATCGACATTCAAACGCTCACAGATTTCCGTGAAATCTGATTTATCATTCCCATTGGTTGTTTTAAGAATATCATACAATGAAAAATACCAGTAGTGCATTACTGGGATTGGTGATGACAATAAACCAATTAAGCAGGCTTGATACATGTTCTCATTGATTCCTTCATCTTTAGCCTCTTCCAATGCAGACTGAATTTTATGCTGAAAGGATGATGGTGATGATAAGTCTAAATTGTGTATTTTAGCTCCTTGTTTCAGACCAACAGCTAGTGAGGTGAGAGTATCAACAGCTAAAAGTTTACTGCATAATTCAGCATTCTGTGCACGCGAACCAGATGCACTTGGATTTGCTGAGCTTTGATTAGTTTGATTCAGTTGTTGAATCAAAAGACTGCTGAGTACATTTAGTAGAACACCAGAGACTGGCCACTCTATAGGAGCATGAAAGGTGACGCTTATCAAGTCATTTGTAACTGTTTCCAAGATAGATCGCATATCATATTCAGTTTTCATGTTAACCCTTCATACAAAAAACACAAATAAACATAAATACTTTTTTATATATTTTACTAGTAATTTCCTAGATGATTACAAACATAAAATTTAATTTATAAAAACAGTCGTGAATTTGCAGCAAACAAGTCAATAAAAAACAAACTGTAACATAGGGTTGACGTAAAGGATTCAAAGCATAACGAATACACCAGTTAGTTGCAACCTTACAAGAATAATCAAGTATATACATGGTATGTGCTGTTATCACAGTTAATCACTGCAAAAACAACAAAGTGATTTGTAATAAATAATTCAAACTACAGAAATATGTAGTTGAAGATATTAACATACAATTGATTCTGATATAATAGATTTGCTAATGCACAAGACTACGAGGGCTTACGATACTTGTTCATCATCCTAATACCTCTGTTCTATTGAAGAAACATATTTGACTGGAATCTTGTCGGAGAAGAGTAACACCTGCTGAAAGTGGGGTTTTTCGCTAAAACTACTTGACAATTGGAACCTGATATACGCAGACACCCAGACACATACAGTGAATTGTCAGGGTCACATGAGTATTTCTAAAAAACAGCTTCCATTTCCAACATCAAATGCTAAATTCCCATAGTCTGATCAGAGAAAACAGTAGAACGCTTGAGAAAAGAGGAGGTGAAAATTATGCCTCTAGAAGATATGAGATCCTAATTTGGAGACTCGAATCGCATTCACATGTCTAAATTGACAAGAATGGATTCAGGAAATACAAAATGTGACATAACTAAAATTAATCCGTACTTCATGTTGTTTAGAGTGAAAACCTAAGAAGAAATCAGTTCGTACAGCATGACTGATTTCTACTGAGACACAACCAATCTTCAAATCCAGTTTTCTACAGAAACAACAGTAGAGTAATAAGTGAAATGTAGTAAATGATACCAAACCTCAGTCAACTTCGATAGCTTTGCTCGAAATAACTGGCATACATTAACTCACACGAAGTGACTTGCAGAACAATAAGAAAGGGTCAAAAATGTGTTATGTGTTGTCAGAAAAAGTTTAGGTCATGAGGATGGGCACTTGGTGGTAACAAAAGCGATGGATACTAATTAGTAATGTTAAAGCCTAGTAATTGTATCGGATCAGAAGAATTCACGGTTATCAAAAGCATTACTCAGAAAGATCAGACACCAATTCTCCTGAAAAGGATACTGAAAAAGTAAACAAAATATCAACAGGAATAATCCAGTTGCTTTTTAGTTACCCTCATTAAGTAAACGGAAACTAAGTGCAAAACTGATATTAGCGGTCGATAATCTCTCTAACTGCAAAGTGTCGTGGTGACAGAAGAAAAATAAATTTGATGAGCAACCTACAGGATTCCTGGGAAATGAATACTAAGTGGATTGGTCGAGGTTGTTATCACATTTTAAGAACCATGAAGAAATTCTAAAGAAAGATTTCGATATAACCAACTTATCAGAACAAACGTTAACCCTACTATTATCACAAGAAAATTAGCTTAACTAATATATTTCATAGAATCATAAAATTTTAAATTACACAACAATTAAACTTATCTCGGTGACATTACGCCGCCGAAAAATAAGTCTAGAAACTTATCGAGTAGACAACAGAAACCAGTGGTTAGAAACTCTAGGTGATTATTATTATTATATTAGTTATCCCTTAAGTTAATAGTGCGACATAGGGCTTCAGTAGCACATTGCCATTGCACTCTTTTCTGCAGTCTTCTCAACCTGGCTCCTCCACTGTCCACAACCTTTCATTTCCTCTTCACACCATCTCCTCCATGTCAACCTTGGACGCACGACTCGTCGTTTCCCTCTTTCGGTTCCACTCGAGGGCCTGGCGCGTGATGTCTCTGAATAGTTTTCTCAGTGTATGTCCAATCCATCTCCACACTTTTCTGCATATTTGTTGGGCGATAGGTTCTCGGTTCGTTCCCCAGTCAGAGATCCTTGTTGCTTATTCTTATTATTCCGGCCATCTGATCGCCAGCTGTTGATGAATGTCTGTAGTTTGTTGGAAATGCTTTTCGTGACGCGCGAAGTTTCTGAACCATCACAGAAGCACTGACTTGACGTTGGTGTTGAAAATCCGGATCTTGTTCACGCTTCGTGCTGAGTGGAGTACAGGAGATACCCACACTGATCTCCACAGATTAATGAAGGCGTGTCTTGCTGTCTTTCCGATCCTGGTTTTGACATCTTTATCTGTTCCGCCACCTGTAGTTGAAACGATGCTGCCTAGGTAGGTGAAAGAGACTACTTCCTTTAGATTTCTCCCGTCGATGGTGATTGGTGCTTGTTGTTCATGCTGTTGTTCGTTGGGTATCTTCATCACCTCTGTCTTCTCTACATTTACTTGAAGTCCCATCTTTGCTGCCCTGCCTTTTCTGCCAACTTGTTAGTTTTTGCCTGTAGACCTTCGAGTTTGTGCGATATTAGACACAAATCACCGGCGAAATACAAATCTTCTAAGGTCTTTTCATCGGTCTAGCGTACACCCGTCTTCGCGCTTCTCACGGTTTGCTGCATGATCCAGTCGACCAAAAGCTAGGTGATACAGCTTAGAATCAATCCCAAAGGTACAGATGCATCCACACATTATCTTCAGCTCAATCACCATACTGAATTTCAGCATCCACCCATTTATCCTTGCCCTCTTTTGATGATTTCCTACTACTTTTGACCGCTTTCTTTTTTTTCTATTTTTCATCCTGGTGCATTTTCGCTTGATGTGGTACCTTAGACTACTACGTAGTAACGCTAGGCCTTATTATATCGAAATCGTCTGTCTGTTTATCTGTTATCGAGGGTCCACTTACTAGACAGCAGAATAGTGGATCTTAATTTCATTAGCCAATGCCCAAAATTATTCATACTTTTTTTAAACCGAAGCTTAACAACTATTTCATGAATTCATATAAGCCTTTACTAATCTAATAAACGTCTACAACACATCATTCAGTGTGCAACTCATCAAAACCTAGGGACAGATGGAATCAAACGGCAGCTTAGGATCGAGTACGATAGATGTGGAGCACTTATAACTAAACTAAAGACCAAAGGAGCGAGAAATGAAACACTACTTTTAGTATCCAAATGCTAGAAAGGCTGAAAGTTTGCTGTTACTTTCAATTAGAATTTCGCTATAAAAAATTTGAGTTCATAGATAAACAAGTTTTGAAGGATTCACAAAGTCTTTTAGCCGTGCAGTTGCATTTGTCAGTGACGACACATTCTCTTGATGCTATGAAAAAAAGCCAGGATAAATTCTATACACAAAAAATATTGACTTTTCACTTAACAGAGACAAAAAATTACATACGATTGCCAGCGTTACCCACCTCTTGAATAAACCAGACATCAAGTAGTGCGCATGTCTAACAGCTGTACTATAACTGCTCAATACATGTTTTTCATCTTTAATAAATTGTACACTATCCACTGTAACAGCTTCAGAGACCAATGAACTTTGTGTTGGGGTAGACATAGCAGATGAGGAAAACTTCCGACCAGATGTATTGGACCCATTATTTGTAGGGAATGAGAAATTCGGTGTATGAATTAAACCTTGAGTAATACAAAGGAATAGTGCACTTAGTGTATGAATGTACAAATACTGAGGAGGTTTAACTCGGGTTGAATGAGATCCATTAGTTTTTGATTTTGAACCATAGTACTCTTCGTAAAAGTAAGACGATGATAACAACCTGGTAGACAGCAAGAACAGAAATAAAATACACTTTTTAATAACAAGCATAGGAAAATTAACAGAATCAATGAGCAACGTAAATCATGAATCAATTTCTATTGAAATTATTCTTAAACGGTTGCAGCTGTTAAGCCTTTGTTTGTCAAAAATTGCGTATAAAACAACTAAGCCTGCAAGATAATCAACAGAGTTGAGATTCAAAAGCTTACCGGAAAGTTTTTGCTGTCCGCCTGTCAGATGGGGATGAAACTTTTTCACTCTCCTCATTGCTTTCCGCTTTAGATGCACGTTTGACATCAAGACTTGATAGGAATGTTCGAAAGATCTCATCCACGATCATTTTCCTGTGTGCCTCATACTGTCCATACAAACCGCCTACAAGTGCAAGGCTTCCACGTTGTAAGTGTTCAGGCCAACTAATAAGAAATAGAGTACTAAGAGCTTTCGTTGAATTACCCCAGATTCTAAACAGTCTTCAGCATAACTTATCAAATCGAATGATTTCTGTGAAGACAAAAGAAAACGTTTCCATTCATTGGTAATACTGGTCCCCGACGTTAAAGAATATGAAGGAATAGCCATACCAAGAGAAGTCAAGTTGATAACTAAATTGTCTGTGAACGATTGGGTTGCAGTCGCATAAGATTCACCAGTAGCATAATAATTTGTGTTATTCGATAACCAACATAACCTAGTGCTGAAAAACCTGACGACATAGATAAACCATGGCACCGTGGTGTACGGGAAGTAACTCCTGAAATTAAAGGTATACATTTAAATATAGTGAAATATTATAGGAAGTGAAACCAGTTCAGCTGTGGTGTAAAGCGTGTTACAAAATCACTAAAGCAGATAGTTATTGATACTCATAATTTCCTGCTGCTATACTGGACCGGAATGATCGGTCGCTATTGGCAAATGCGTTTCTATGTCCATGCCTTTATATTGCCTGACGATTTGCTACGTTGCAATTTTCTTGCTACAGACAAGCAGTGGAAGCAAGAACACAAGCTTCCTCTTATTAGGCACTCAATAAAGTCTACCAAGTAAGTTATGAATGCATTTACAGCATTAAAACTGATTGTGAGCTATGCTAACCAAATCCTTAACCGTTAATTCCAGTTATTCCGAAGTCCAATCAACTCAGCGTATCAAAACTAATTACACTCCAGTTCTTCTTACTTTGTTAAATTGCTTCTAACTCATTACTAATTATCACCAAAAACCAGAGGACAGAAGACAAATGACAGTAGCTTATTGAGCTTACAAATCAACAAGAATGAATACATACAACCTTGTTAAATAATTTCAACTACCCACTAACTAACTCCTACATTGCGCAATTAGCTATCAACTATAATGATAATAGTAATAATATACATTACTACTGGGCTATGGTCTAAGTGAGATACACGCAAGGTAGTGAGTTTACTCAACACTCGCTAAAACACTAAACAATATTGCGAGAAGAAATGGGTAATTAACTTTGTCAAAGATAATCTCCACTTTGTAACAGATTTATGTAAGGAACTTTCTCAGGTAGATGAGCAGGGTTAGTAGACAATCGACTAATTAAATGTCTATCTTTAACTTCATTTAAGACAATCTGAATAGGCATTACATTTCCAATAAGTCTTTGGTTGGCATCGGGATTATAATTTATGTTCGATGAGTAGGTCATATCTAAACAGACCTGTGAAACAATTCAGTATTTTGGAGCCACAAACGTTGCTATCAATTTACAGGTTGTATTTATTTTGCGTCACTCATCTGTATTCAGCAAGTACAGATTGTGACAAAGCATGTGATCCTTCTCTACTCAAGTAATCATATGAGAGTGGCTCGCTGGAGATATTTCAATAGCTGACATCCCTCATCTATTTAGGCAGAAACCTTCGTCATTTTCAAAGAGATGTAAAAGAGGAGCATTTGAAGTAATTTTCAGGAGTGCTTTCCGTCATTTTTTTGTCTGTTGAATGATTCTTGGGAGGGGGGGGGGGGGGGCTATGTCACTTCAGTGACGTAGTTCACAAAACAATTTGGTTAGTAAGACTGTGTGAGGCCTTGTGGTGACCCATTTGCTTCAAAACTAGCAGGCTCGATATGTCGAAAGAACAGTGGGATGTGAAATCACAAAACAACAAAACAGTTGGCTAAAAGACAGCTAAAGTAACCAGCTTGATATGTGTTAACTCATCAGTTTAGGTTGTTATTCAACAGACTTCTAACTGTTTGCGATATGCAGATGACTGAGATATAACCACATGAAAAACCGACAGTAACTGTGAGGTCAGTGTTCAGAATAGTGTATCTAGGTGCAACGTGTTGCATCATCAAAATGCCTCAGGCTTTCTTGTCGTTTGTTAGTTGCCTACCTGAGGAGACGGCAGTGAAAGGAAACTAAGGATTCATTCAAAAAGATAAGATTAGTGAAAACCAACAATTCAAAGTCCCTAAACACTGGTTCAAGTAATTCGCACAGGTACACCATGCTGCGATTGCATCAATAAGAGAGTATGACTTGATGGAAAATAACGATGAACAAAATTATCTGGAAGCGAAAACTAAATAACTGCGTGATAGATGAGTGGAGCAGAAAATGATGATGAACAATGACTTACTAATAATATTATGAATGAGGCAATCCAACTGGTGGCGTACAACAGATACAATGCCTTCAATTAAATCCTCCATAAGTAAAGGTCGTGGCATATCTGGTCCAACAATAATATTTAAAGCTGTACGGGCACAATCTAAACCAATAAGTGATGACATCCACTCTGAATCAGACCATAAGATTGTCTCCGTAAAATAAGCATTCTGAAAAGATTTACTAACAGCTGTCGTTTGTTCTCGATGATGCCTGTAACGTTTCTTGGCATTACGATACGCATCGACCTGAGAGAAAAATTATGAGTTATGAGGCAAACTTTATCTGAGACAGTCATAATGATGATTCTATTGTTCAAAATACTTACCTTAAAAAGGGCTGATATTGAACACCATTCAGTTTTTTAAAGAAAACTTACTAAAAACTGAAACTCGAGTAGTGTGTGGGACTGTGGCTTATTGGTCTAGGTACCTAATTTCCAACCGATGGGTCACCGGTTTAAATCCAGCTCCATCTACCGGGGTTTAACTAGTCATGATTAGACCACATACAATAGGTGTGGCTCATGGTCTACTGCATGAATGTGTACAACGTTGCTGAGTGTATTTCAGTTTCTTTCCTCTACTAATATAAATTCTGACTGACAACACTAAGACCAATAAATTATTCAGAATAAGTTTTCAAGTATATTTTAAGAAATATTTTTCTATACAAGTTATCAAGGCTGAAGTAAACATACAGCAGGAATGATTTCTAACTGGTTTACTTACCCTGAACATCAAATTAGAGTAAGGATTACCGATTTTGAGGATAACTACATCATACATTTATCCTTTATCGGAATAAATAAAAAACAGTACTCAATATTCGTGTAGAAGGATTTCGTTAGATACCGAACAATTTTAAATTTCAATGAAAAGCAAAGCCTTACTACAGCGATCAACAGAGTAGTTCGATGTCCATAATATTGTCATCTTTTAGGAATATTTTGCGAATTAAACGACCTAAAATAGTGAAACTGGATTTCAGGAAGTGAATAATATATTTTCCTGAGATGGATATCGGAGACAGGATTATCTGTCCCAGATTCATAAGAATTAGCGAAATTCATTCATAAACAGTTTCTACTATTAACTTGTAGTTAGGCCTTGTTTCTACTTCTATGTACTCAAATTACACACAGGTTATAGTGCTTATTCAGGGAACGGTAATGCTAGACATATTGGCTAGATAGCTGCTACCTTGACATGATGGTCCGTCTTGAATATCACAAGGACCCAACGAACTATGCTGGAACGCTGGTACCTCCGAGGTCCTACCATACGAGGAACGTCAGTTGGATAGGTCAGAATCAGTTACCATTATAGTTTAAAAAGGACACAGTGTGATGGGGTCCGAGGTTGAAGTCGTACTGACGGCTGGACGGTGTGACAGTAGTGAGGTGTTCCCCACGGGTGACCAGCAGTCACGTTGATGCTATCTTCCTTATGAAGGAGGAATAGGATTAGAAGACGTTGGCCACAAAAAATAGTAAATTCCCCTCCACCCCGAGGCACATCGATGCTGGCGATACGCCTTTATAATCGGCTTGGCACAAAACAAACCAAATTATCAGACTCCTAACAATGTCGTGTGTGGCCGGCCTCAAGCAGATGTTTCTTGGCTCCGGGGTTAAATACTAACCCTTCTCTTCCAAGTACCTCGAGAACCAGCATTCCACGGTGTGAGCAGCTGGGAACTCAACCGCTCTCACAACTCTGATAGTACTTAGTTTCCTTCACATCCACATCCTTACCCTCTAATCTTTCTTGATATTTCTCGGCCAATATTCCCATATAATCTTTAATTCCTTCCAACTCTGCTGTTATTGTTAATGATCTGAGTTCATGAAACACCAACACTGGCCTCCTGAAACCGCTCACCAAACTACACATTAGAACTTTCAATGTGAATACCCCCGATCAAATCAACCAACAAGCCTCACAAGCCTAAACTCTAGCACTGGGGAGGGGCGAAGATGTGTCCAGTGTTTGCGGGACAGGCATGCAGGACCCAGGTGCAGCTATATACATCTCACTCGGCAGCGACAGTCTACTACAACTGTGGTCAGATAACCACCTATTTCTGGCCAACTTCTTACTTTTAAAGTGGCATCCGCTGCGCTCTTCGCTCAACGATGGATACAACTAGAACATGCTGGTATCAGTTATCGCAGGAAGGGGCTGACAAACTTTATGGAGCACGTGTTCAGATAGTGACCGCGCGTTGGTCCAAGCACGTATTTGTCTGCGCCTGAATAGACATAAAAAATACGGTAGCAAAAAGACTATTGGGAGTGCAGCTCGACAACGAGACCAATAAGGATACTTTCGGCGAAAAACTAGCTACATAATTATTGAAACAGAAAAACATCACTCACTCAGAAGAAGCCAGGTGTCATCTCTAGTCTACCGAAAAACAATGTTGAAGACCATAGTCAACTATCAGAGATAATTAAAAAGGGCTAGTGGATCTCAGCAGCTTCTTCTGAATTAACAGATGCAGAGGAAATTACCCTTGTAGGTTCCGAGTACTACGAGGAGCAAATGCAACTCAAACATAGACTGATAAAAAGTCTACGCAACGACTGCGAATACTGGTGGGCAACGAAGGTCAAAGAGATGGAAGAGAGCGGCGATAGATAACAGTAGACAGTTATTAGGACTTCTTAGACTAACTGGGGCAAAAAGGTTAGTTATTCGTGAGACTATAGCGGAGAAGGATGGGTCTGTGATTCACTCGCAGGGGAGGAGACTGGAACGATGGATGGAACGCTTGGTAACAGACAAACTGGTTTCCATCTGCCATCTAGTCGGATCCTGAATAGAATAGCAGGATAGAACACACAACTCCTGCAGAAGTCGAAAAAGCTGTAAGTAATCTGAAACGAGGAAGGCCAGTATGACAAGATGGTTGCCGATTGTTGATCAGAATAACTAAAGAGTTGGGAAGGGTTTAGGAGGCAGATATGATTCCGTCTGACTGATCTCAACCACTGATCGTCCCAGTCTTCAAGAAAGGCGAGAAACCCTAATGGGAGTAACCACGGTGGAATTAGCTTGAGGAGCCTAGTGTCTAAGATTTTAGTTTGTATAATCATTCAACGTCTGAGTGGAGCTCAGGAACAGCAAACCTGAAAAAACTAGAAAGGCTGTAGACCTGATTGCGGGTGTATCGACCAGATATTCATCTTCTGCCAGGTTCCGGAAAACACACTTTCAAACATCCGACACCAGTTGTATTTCTTGACCTAAAGGCGGTATTCGACTCTATCGATCGAGAGGCAGTGTGCCTCTATGAAAGGATTGCCCGATAGGCACATCACTCTGTTAAAGACTGTTTGCTGGAACACCCGTGGGCGCGTTACAGCCTGTGGTGAGTTGTCAGGTGGGTTGGGTATGTCAAGTGGTGTCCGACAAGTCTATCTACTTTCCCCATTCTTATCCAATTTTATCGTAGATATGCTTTTGTCATCGGAGTATGGACCGTGTGTCACAACCATTGCAGGAAACGAGAAGACGTAGACGAAGGAAGGAATGTTTATTATTGACATCTTGTGCAGTAGTCATCACCGCACTAAAACAGTCATTTGTCTAATGTGCTTCATTTCCTCTTTTGTTTCTATCGTGATTTGCTCTTAATACGCCCGCATTGCCTCTTCCGTTTCCCTGGGCAGAATCTTTACCCATTGCTGGTACCTTCCTATGATTTCTGCGTCCCTCTCAACATACAGTACTTATATCCATTCTGATCAGCAACACTAACTACAATACTACTTGAGGTCTGTATAACAAATGAGACTGTTGGTTGGAGACTAAGTAATATGGACCAGAATCAATATCAGTGATGCAGATCCATCTAGATTTTGTTTATCCTTTCCTTTTCTTTATGGCTTTTCACTACTTTTGATAAATTTCTTCCTTACTTATTTATGTTTCGCCTTGGTCCCTTCACCTCATACCATGAAGCGAGGGAACTCAGACCACTACGCAGTAATTTCAGGTCCCACATTGATGTTGACTGACTGTAATAAGCTCCCAACTAAATGTAGCTGAAAACCTGTGCTAGGTGAGTCACACTGAATAAAAATTGCTTATACCACTAATCTCGCTTATGATCCAACTGTTCAATCAAAAGTGATGTAATCGAACAAATTTTGATCAGAAAAGTAGACATGTTTAGTTTGAACAACAAAGTGTAAATCCCATTCACTCAAAAAAATCAACTTACAAGGCTCGAAATATTTGGAGATACTGAAGCAGCCTCTTGCATATTTACCAAAAGTAATGTCAGAAACCTAACTAAACGTCCTGTTGGTATAGTTGACATTGACCCAGCTGAACGAATTTTCGCCGAATCTGAGCACAACGATAAGACTTCTTGCTTAGTAATCCGAGCAGAGGCAGGTAAGGTGGATGAGACATTATTCTGTGCAGTTGAATCATCGCTGTCATCTTGATCTGAAGAGCTTTTCTTGTATGCAGTACCAAGTTTGTTTTGAACAACAGCTGCTAACTGAAGTAAATCAAGTTCTTCAACACGTCGTAATATTTTGCTTAAACGGCTTGTAAACTGATGAAGGACAGTTGAAGGAGAAAAATCTGACTGGCACAAATTTTCATTTTCATCAGAAAAGTTAGCTAGTTCATCATTAATAGAAGATAGCGAAGACAATGAATAGGACCGGAAGTCATCTGTCTTCAGTGCATCAGGTTCTGTGAGACCTGAACAAGATTTGATTTCTGACGAATCAGAATTCGAATCAATATCCAGATTAGTATCATGTCGGCGAAATGAGTTGACAGAAGGGCAATCTTCATCATTGTCTTCCATTGCAGAGCTGTGGGTGTAGGCTATAGTACTAGGTGTACGACATCTGTGACCAGATCCAGATGCCGTGTCCACTCCTGAAAACATTCTCGGTGACGAACTTGTAACGCTACTGATACTAGATTCACTCATATCAGAAAGTTTGTGTCCACTTTGATTGGATAGTGCATTACTAGAGTCCATCACTTGGGGGAACGAATACTATCCTGCCTACAAGAATTAGAATTTGCAGCGACTTGGGAAGTGTCGGAGGTTCTGTCTGGATTATAACTTGGTTCTGATGAACAATTGTTTGAATTTGAAGTGACCTCAACAGTAAGATTATCAAATGGCTGCCTAGTAGGTGAGGTGGTATACTTCTTGCTTGTTCTAATATTGTTCGAGTGTTTTGAATGAATATTTCTCATGCTGAACTCTGCATAGGAAAAATGAAGATAAGAAAGTGTGAACTGTAAAGTTGATGAAGATTATTTTGCAAGTAAATTCACAAAGCAAATTAAATTCCAGGAGTGAATAAAGGAAACTCAATATTAATAACAACTACACATGTGGTAATTAACCGTCAAATATTGAAGTTAGAGGTCACCTTATTCCACCAAGTCATACTGCAGTTTGTACAAATATGGCTTTGTCTATTGTCGTTTACATATTCTCTGAAAAAAAACTTCTTGATGAATTCAGGGTTAACTGTGTTGGAATGCCCTAAATTTGCATAAAGCATTGTTTAATAACTTAAACATTCTTTAAAATTGTTGTTTCCACGCCATTTGTTATGGCATGGTCAGTCATTCATTTTCTGCCCTCATTTTAAAGGTAATTATCTAATTAGTTAGTGCTTAATTTTACTATTCAATTTCGAGGTTTGTGGGGATTTATTCATTGATTTCAGGTTGGTACTCATCACGGACTGACATCAACTGAAGAAACAGTAGAAACCTAGGAACACTCGACAGTTGTTTTGAACAAGTATGGGACTGTGCACCCATGACCCCGCCCCACCACCACCAGGCATCGAATCCAGGACCTTCATGTCTCGCTACCAGCACATTAACATCGACTCACTAGGTAGGAACCCAATGGTCTGTATTTCCTACTTCTAACAGTTCACGACAGCGCAACCCTCCATCCAGTCTCATCATTGAGTATCTATCCTCATATCCGACTGGGTTGACCCCAGCGGTCACCAATTCTCATTGGAACTTCGCGAACCATCTCTCGAAGCTAGTCACCAATGACCACTAGAATTGTTTCACAAGGAGGTTTGTGGGGAACTATCGATTTCAGATTGGTATTCAATAAATAAATCCTCACAAACCTCCTTGTGAAACAATTCTAGTGGTCATTGGTGACTAGCTTCGAGAGATGGTTCGCGAAGTCCCAATGAGAATTGGTGACCGCTGGGGTCAACCCAGTCGGATATGAGGATAGATACTCAATGATGAGACTGGATGGAGGGTTGCACTGTCATGAACTGTTAGAAGTAGGAAATACAGACCATTGGGTTCCTACCTAGTGGCTGAATGGTAACGTGCTGGCCGCAGAACCTGAGGGTATACATACATACATGTATTTGGGCTAATTGATTATTATTGCCGGAGAAATCAATTCTTCCATCCAGTTTAGTCTTCTTTTTATTCGTCACGAGTTGGAGTCAGTGGGTCTTGCGAACGAACTTAGCTGTCAGTTAAGCGTGCGTATTATATCCCCTCGGATTACACAACAAATTGAATTTTCAATGAGTCCTGTCTACCAGAAGAGTTCACTTAGCAGGATTGAGTCAAAATGCTGAGAGCTTCTAAAAAGGCACTGATATCTGTTTTTTCATCATAAGTTAGCAAATGCAAGCTACGGAAAATATTGGGACATAAGCAAACCAAACGAGAAGCCTGATTCAGACCTTCAAGCAGAATACCTATGCATACTAAAGCAAAGTACTCCATGGTCAACAGTGAACAAAACAAAAATCGATAGGAAGCAGTCTAAATCGAAATCAGCATTCAACATCACCAGTCCCTAAGGTTAAAGTTTTGAATTTCAACCTTGATTTCATGTTAGTATGTGGGCAGAAAATCCCTATTAGACCATTTCGTCCTACAGTTGACCAGTGAAAACCAGTATCCAAGTTGTGACCTAGTGGCTTCATTTGCTGAGGGGAAACTGCACATAAATGTGTTTTTTCAAATAAAGTTATCTTCTTTAGAGTTACAGGCCGGTCCTTGTCTTCTGATTTTCGCGGCAAGTGAAGTATCAGGTATGAGGGGGATCAGCCGATACTCGTATTCAGATGAAGTATCGCACCGCGTTATTATCCATAACTGTCACAACATGCAACAATCTGAATGAAAGCAGTAGAATTATATACACATATTATATACATATGAAACCAAACCATAGTACAACTACCAGCAGGAAGAGACTTACCAATATGCTCTTGAGATTTGGTATTTTCTGATGCATCAACAGACAACGGCCTGTGAAATAAACTGGGAGAAGGGCGGCTTAAAGGTAAAAGAGGTGGTGGATGTGGAGATGAATCATTTGATCTTCCACAAGAACCTTGAGCTGAATCCGATCCGAAAGACTAGTAATAAAAATATCCACATACATTGGAAGATAACACACAGACTGGAAAATAAAACAACTATTCTGTTAGCAAAATTAAAGATAGATAATAATCGAGTCCAAAAGCCATGCATACACACGTGTACTAGGCACTGAGATGCACTTATTAAGTGAAGGCTGTAATTACTGGATGCCTATTGCGTAAAACAAGATCAAAATCCGTGACAAGTCACTTCAGGTTGGATTCAAAACTAGCTCCCAAACACCCAGAAAGTATACATGAGTACTAGATTCACTTTAAAAGATTTCATGAAAACAGAGGGTCAAGGTGTTTGCGGCTTTGAAGAACATCTTGCTGACCAAAAAAAGCAGAGACAGTAAATGTACAACATAGTGCTGTGGGATGAAGGACGGTTGTTTGGGCTAGCACCTATTGATGTTTCATGAATTTCTTGATAGGGTTCCAGAGATCACATAGCAAAGTGGTTTGAGATGATAATGGATAAGACTAAGAATCGAAAGCGGTAACGATCATGTTGCAGCTTTTTCGTTTTTTAAATTACTGAAAAGTAAAAGAGAGAAATGAATGCTTGTTCGGATGCGTGCTTGAAACTTTTTCTTGATTGACCCACTTTTGTTTTTGCTTCTGTACATTTTCCGCTTCCCACCCCTAGATCGATTTTTCCTTAGCATTTCTATATTATTGTGCATTGTGTCTCTCTTGGTGCCCATTTTGTACTGTATTTGTATTTTAAATAAATAAATAAATAGTCAAATATCAACAGATCAATATATTTACATCTAACTTATGAACGAATTACTGAATAGAAGATGAATTTAGTAAGAAAGCCCAAACAGTATTCAGCAACAGCCCAGAAAAAATTAGCTAGTGCCAAGGGGATTACCTCCTAATTGATAACTGTTTGTGCAGACTATTAGGTTTCTGTTCCAGCAACACGTAAAGAGTAAAAGTATTTTAGGTAAACAAATGGATAGTACATCGAATGGTGAGATACTTATAAGCCAGAGTGCCAAGAGGTTCAAAACCGTAACAACGTTTGTCAAAAGGTCCAAACAGATATGCATAAAGAAGCTCTGACACAATTATAATACACCAGGTAAATATGCAAACAAACAGAATTCATAAATCTTACGAGTATTTGCGATCTTTTGAAACATCCTTCTCTCATACAACCCCACATAATGCATTGAGAAATCTCTTTAACAAAAATTAGATCTATATAATATCATCCCATGATTTTGTGTTACCAATCAAAAGTACAAACCGCATCTTGTGAAAATTGACTTGAAAATATCTTACAAATGTTTCAAGTTGTTATTCATCGAAGACTGACATCAGTTGGAGGAACAAAGGTAACCTGGGAGCACTGGACAGCTGTTTCGTCCTAGTATGGGACTCCTCAGCAGTGCGCACCCACGACCCCACCAGCAGGGATCGAACCCGCGACCTTCAGGTTCCGCGACCAGCGCGTTACCATATTAGGACGAAACAGCTGTCCAGTGCTCCCAGGTTTCCTTTGTTCCTCTAACTGATGTCAGTCTTCGATGAATAACAACTTGAAATATTGTATATATGTTTGCACGAAACAGCGCGAAAAGCTGTACATCTTAATTTACATTCGCTAGATGAGAAGTTCGAATAGGAAATATGAAACAGGCCTTTTGAATATAAACGCGGGAGATCATGACAAACTACATAAAGTTAAAGAGAATGATTCATTTTATGCCGAAAACAGTCAAAAAAGTTTGATATTATGGAGCATAGATTCAAAACTGTCTCTCATGCGCCATATTCTATACAAAACTCAAACATGGAACTGCTTTGTTTATTCACAGATTAAGTAGACGATACTTTTCGAGTGCTAAAATTTCGGATTTTTTGCATCTAACCTGTGTAAACAAATGTGTTCATATTTCTAAGTAATATGTACATAATATTGTGCTTTGTTGATGACTGACTTATCTCAATGTTTTGATTTTCACTGCCTATCAACAGATACCGACAGAGAGACAAATAACAGTGATTGGTTATTTTTGTGCACGGTGCACTGAATCCCACCACAACCATGTGCTGTTTTCCCAAATCTAACATATAAGCAACCTGTAAGGAAGAAACTAACCTCAGTTTTCAAAGAACTATGCAATCAAGCAAACAATATCTGACTTATCAGCTTAAAACAAGAGTTCTGAACAATTCAAATTGACAAACCTGAATTGTTGTGATCAACATATTTTTACAAAACCACATTATAAACAGATATTATAGAGAGTATAAATGAACTTCCTGATATTTTGGGAAATAAGGACTTGTTGCTGATCCGTCCTGATGAGGACACTGGTGTTTTTCTCATGAATCGTGCGGACTTTGTTGTCATATCAGATAAGAACAAGTTTTCAAAAAATACTATTCCAAACGATGAAACCGAATTTCATGTATATGTTCAAGAAAATGAAGAATAGGTCAAAGGTGAGTTATTTGGAAAACTACGACCTTCTGGTTATGTAATACCCTGACTACATGGTCTCCCGAAAGTACACAAATAGAATGTCCAGTCAGGCTCAGGATATGAACAACTCATCATACGACGCGGTTCCGCAAGTGACATGCTTCTAAAGTGTGGTTTCATATGGCAGTCATTCAGTGATCACTGATTAGAAATACTACTACTTACGATGCCGCGGTCAAGATGATTTCAAGATAACAAAAAAACTAAAATCGCCGGATAGGTGTAATTAAGTGAACTGATTGGATATATATTACAGTTTCAGATGGCCAACAGAGGCTCAAAAAAGTATTGGTCATCACCTAGGAAGGCTTACTGGAAATGATTCAAATGAGAAACAAATATGGAAACACTGCTCTTACAAATGGAACGATGATCATCAATTGATACATGGGATGATAAACGGCGATGCGAATGTATATCATCATCGATGTTCAAGATCCAGCCAAACATGAAAGATAACATAGACAAACGTATCTGATTCCGTCCCATGGCTGTAAGCAAATACTACATAGGTAATGTGTATATAATATTCCAGCCGCCCTATGCAGAAATATCGAATGAGAGAACTGGAATTTCACTTCGAAAATTAGTCTTTCGCAAATAGAAAAAAAGACCACATAGATGCTTTGAACGCTGATTTTCAGGATAGAAAAGCATGGCGTACTGGGCATAGGCGGGTTATTCTGTCCCAGTAAAGTGAGGAAAATAAATACAAAAATGCCCCTAGAAATAATGTGGTTGTTGATCACTCAATAAAATACATTGTCTTTAAACTGCTTGCAGAATAAACGCTTGATGAACAGTAAAATGAGAATGACTGAGTAACTGCTTCTACCAACGAAAGCAGCCATGTTAGGAATAACAATGATCACATTAGGGAAGTATCTTTTAGTAGTCGTACTTTTAATGATAAGCAACATAATATTGATCAATAAATGAGCCAAATTTTAGTGAACTATCAACCGAAAGTCGAGAGAACTATTAACGGAAGTAATAAGTATCTTAATATTAGGGTTCTTTATCACTTAACGTTAATTTGTTGCATCAAAGAAAGCTTAACTAAAGTAACAAAATGCCATGACATGGGATAGATAACCACCATATATATATACATATATATATATATATATATATATATATATATATATATATATATATATATATATATATATATATATCAAAATCAACCCCAAAAAATATACCTGGACATTGACTGATTCACGATAATTACTCCTTGCGGACCATTTTGTATCTTTCCACTGAGGTTTATCGTGATTTCGCTTTACATCGGAGAATTGGGAGTTCTGGTTACTCAGTTGCGATGTCAATTCACTAGCTTCTAACGTCACACTGTGATGAGCGACTGATTCTGAATTCGGACTCTTTGTTTCGCATGCTTGAACAAAGGACATTGAGTGACGGTCGTACGCCGATAATTCATGTGAGTGACGGCTGCTAGGTGGGTCACTTTTCTGATATGAAAGTATGGGAGGACTAGGTTGTACACTGTCAATAGGTGGTACACTACCCATATATGGTGAATGAGATCGAACAGACGATAAAACTGTACTACTGGGAGATAAAGAGCAGTCACTATCGGTTGATGGGATTTGTTTACTACTGTTATTAACTGCCACATCAACGCAATTTTCCTTCTCTTGGGTTTCATGTGGTGTTTTGCATGAGGCGATTTGGGTTCCTTTTTTATTTTCACGTCTCATAAAAGTGGTTGACTTATGTTTCCTGGAGTGTGACGTGACTTTATGTCGGTTTTGTCCAGGGGATGGGGTAGATAGAGGGGATACTTCACAAGAACTTCTAAGTGTTTCCTTGTACGGTGATGACTTACAACCCTTCAATTCCATCTCCCTCTGCTGCCGTCTTCGCTTTACACGTTCCACAAGAGCCTCAGTAAATCCACCGTACTGATTGCACATATCGGAAGACTTAATATGTGAGACATCCTCTTTTGAGGGAACAGATTGGATAGTAGCTTCTGAAGGGATTAATGAAGATATCGAATCCCGACCAGCAGTAGAATTTTGAGGTGAGTCACGGATCTCAAACAGGTCAGTAATCTTTGATTCTAAACCAGGATTTGCATGATCAATGACACTCCACCTCTTCAGTTCTTCAAGTTCTGTTCGTCTGCGGCGACCTAAAATTTAATATGAGACACGTAAAACACTTACCAGTACTTTGCAAATATGTCGTACGTAAAAAAAATATGCTACTTCTACTTAATGATGACATTCAAACAATAATTGCGTTTTAGCACGTGGCATTACACTAGTTGCATATACTTAGCTTGGAGAAATAACATTTCGAAATCTCTACTCAATGTTTAACAGTATTCTCTATTTCTAAGCTAAGAAACATCCTCAAATCACAGTTACTGATTAAAAGTTGTTTATTCTAGTTTGCGAAATGAAAATGTACATGCATGCATATAAGTTTTAAGATCTATCAACAAATTGCACAGGCGAAACCAAAATAGCATTCGAGAGTATTATGGATACTCCTAAAATAAAACCAAGTGTAGTGAGTTTTGATACTGCACTGATCATATATGCATGGATTTAAATGCGACAGCTAAGACTGTAGATGTTTTGTATTAAATTTTTGTGGATATGAAAATAGTTAAATATATAGCGTGAGTAGTATATGAAACACGTATTACCTCCTCCTCTAGGTTTCCCGACAGAAATCCGACCACGAACGTTTGGTTTTGACTTTGAATAACTTATTGGATCATTAACCGTAGAAACCGTCATTCTTGATGAACCTGGAGTACGAGCACCACTCTCTAGCGGACTAACAGAACTCAGATCAATGCATTCACCAGCTGGAGAGAGTGCTGATTTGGGAGACACTGAGTTTGCAGAAGTCACAGGAACATCTTCGTTTGGAAAAACAGATGTTTGTGTAGGATGAAGTGGACGTTGGTTATTACAACGCGGTAAATATGCAGCAAGGCCATGAGGAGTGCTACTAACTTGTTCATCCAAAGCGCTACAAGTAGACAAGTTTGTTGTTAGTGTCTCATCTACTGAGTCGAATAACCTAGTAGATGAGGGCGTAGCAACCTGTGTATATGCACCTTTAGACAGAGAGACAGATGAGGTTACAGATGATGTGGATATGGTTATTGCAGAGGTAGTATTGTGAAGTGCTACGACGACGTTTCCACCGGGTGTGGTTGGATATGAGCAGTTTGAAAGCACAGACTGAGGACTGCGAGAAAGACCTGTCATCAATTCATTACTAGCACCCACAGATGAATTCTCCTTCACAGCTATTGATACAGATGAAACAGGCGTCAGTGAAGAAATACATTTATTTGGCACTGTAAGAGCAGGAAAAGATGGCGATTCAGAGAGTTTTGGTGTGTCAACCCAATCATCAAAAAGGCCACCTCCTTGACTATCTATTCCTTTGTCTGGTTCACATGTAGGTTGGTAAGTGTGGAAAAGAGCTACCGAATGAAAGATTTGCGACAGAGCTGGATCAGGTATCCGTCGAGGTTGAATAGGGTTAGTATCACAGCCCAGTGCTCCAGAACTATGATCTCCAACTTTAGGAGAAGTGGAGTGTTCCATGTTTACTTGGTTGCTTTTATAAGGAGATTTAGGCGCATGGTCTGTCTGACTGACTTCCACTTTTGATGGATCGTTAATTAAAGTATTTGACAAGAATTTCGATGTAGAGTGAATCTGGTCAACTACGGGGTTCAGTTTAGAGTCTAAAGAAATCGCAGCTGTGGATGCCACCAATTTTGAAGATTCCTCGATAGCTTCATCAGAATCTCTAGATATATTGGTGTTAATAACAATAGGGGACTTTTGTTTGGAATCAGCAGCAGGACTTAATACTTGGCTTGATAAATTGTTACATAGATCATGAGAAGTGTGAATTTGAGAACTTGTTTTTTCGTGACATGTTTCGGTTTTTTCCAGAGGATCTTTCTGTGAAGGACAAATACAGAGAATTTTTTTAGGACATGAAAGAAACAGGAATACAGACTACGTAACAAAGAATCTACTAAGACATTTGCGCCAAATAAAATATTCAAAAAAATGTTATTTATCGGTGGTCAGCTTCAGTTACTTTGCAGATCTGAATACAACATTCACTCAGAAGAAAAAAAACGCACACTTACTGATTGCACAGCGGTTTATGATCACCTACCAGCTCTACGTCTAAACGATTCTATGAAGAATGGTAAGGACTGACCGATGACTTGTGGTCTCCAATTTTGAGATTACTAAGAATCCGGGTGATCTGAAGAAAGGACTTAAATAAGGCTATCAAATCTACTCAAAACGTTAAACATACTGAAGAAGTTCTAATAACCAGAAACTTCCGTGAACAAGTTACAACCTTTAACTAGGCATAGATCTTCGCAAGTTTGCTAAATTTCCCATCAGAAGTAACAATCTTTGTTCTTGGCTGAGTGATTTCTATCCCGAACGCTGCCGAATTCCCTTTTTAGTTGAGAAACCAGCCAATGTGACAAGTACAAACACACCACACGGTCGGTAAATAATTTTTACACTGTGTGGCAACTCGGACCGTTACGCAGTAATGCCTGGTCCTATGTTGATAATGATTTTACACTGCGTATTTAACTTAGGTACACTTTGCTGAACCTCATTTTACATTATTAAGTTGTCAAAAATTACTCCGCAATAATCTTAGCTTAACAGCCAGAGATAATTGAAATGCAAAGTCACCTGAGTAACACTGAAAGAGCAAATTAGCCGTAGGTAAACGCTGTTGCCCGTGATGTAACGTAGGCATAGTAAACTTGATGTGCATGTAGCAAGTGAAGCCTATACATTAATGACTTATAGATTTAATAACTAGTGTCACAAAAATGTAAACTACTACATCAAAAAAGTTCCTACGTTGGTTTTACCAGCAAAATAACCTTTTTAAAGGCAAGGGTACCTTAATTTGATAGGCTGCTGTTATTGTGTAGCGTGCATTCACGATGAATGGTTTTACTACGTTACGATGCTTATTATTTTCAATTATAGTGTCTTAAATATACAACTATCTAGAATAAAATAACGTTCGTCTGAACCAAAAGTTTAAGGACAATCTTCTGAGAAGCTAACCTCGCCTGGTTAACTAGTTTACTAGTTACTAGCCGGTCCTAAGCCCGGGTAAAGAGGGAAGGTTGGGCATAGGGCTAGCAACCCTACCCCGTAAAACAAATCTAACCGCTAAAGAAACTTCAAAGCACAAACAAAATATAAAAAATGAAAACAAACTTATTCCCCGCTGGAATCGGAGAGGCGAAATGACGCCAGTTGGTGAAAGCCTTCGGGAAGCCAATTGGCCGATGTGTCTTCTCTCGATGAAAGCGAAAGTAAACGTGGGGACATGGAATGTCCGCACGATGTTTGAACCCAGTAAGGCAGCCCAGATTGCAAAGGAGATGAGAAGGTATAACATCGAAGTGCTTGGGATTTGCGAAAGCAGATGGAATGGGAGTGGACTCTCCAAACTGTCAACGGGAGAATCAATAATCTACTCCGGTCACCCAGACGCCAACCACGAGCACACTGAGGGAGTGGCTATCATGATGTCCTCAAGAGCATCGAAGGCTCTCATGCAGTGGGAACCAATCTCCTCCAGGATCATGTCAGCAAGATTCAACTCAAAAGGAAGAAAGGTCACAATCATACAATGTTATGCACCTACAAATAATGCAGAGCAAGAGAAAAAGGAGGAATTCTACAGACAACTTCAGTCAACACTGGACAAGACGTCAGTTGGCGATATCAAAATTCTAATGGGCGACATGAATGCCAAACTGGGAGGGGACAACACGGGAAGAGAACTAACCATGGGTCGAGAGGCGCTAGGTGAAATGAATGAGAATGGAGAATTGTTTGCAGAATTCTGTGCATTCAACGATTTGGTGATTGGAGGCAGTGTGTTCAGGCACAAGGATATCCACAAAGCGACATGGATTTCACCAGATGGACACACTAAAAATCAAATCGACTTTATCTCAATCTCAAGAAAATGGAGACGCAGTCTACTTAACACAAGGTCAAGAAGAGGAGCAGATGTAGGTTCAGACCACTATCTAGTGCAAGGAACCTTCGAAATCAAGTTAAAAGCCTTCAAGGAAGCTGGTGATAGACCTCAATTCAAGTACAACACTCGGAAACTGAAGGATGAAACTACAAAGGAGATCTTCAAAGCAGCCATCAAGACAAAATGGGAGACGTCGAGGGACATCCCTGAAGAAACCTGTGTAGAAGAACACTGGAAGTCTTTGAAAGCTATGTGGAAAGAAACCTGCACAACAGTATTAGGAAGGAAGAAGAAAGAAGACAAGGAATGGATCTCGACGGATACCTGGAAGCTGATAGAGGAGAGGAGGATGGTGAAGCAGAAGATAAACCAGTGCAAGGATGCTCAACGACAAGAGGAACTGAGCACAATGTATAAAACACTGGATAAAGAAGTGAAGAAGAGTGCACGCAAAGACAAACGACACTTCTACGACACACTGGCAAGTGAAGCAGAACAGGCTGCAGGTAAGAGAGACCTGACGACATTGTATCAAATAACCAGGTTGCTATCAGGGAAGAGACCAACACAGATGAAACCAATAAAAGATGAAGAAGGAAATTTAATTACAAAAGAAGAGAAACAGAGGAAACGATGGGCCGACCACTTCAAGAAGCTCTTGAATCGACCACCACCTGCACTTCGTCCAGAAATACCACCTGCAGCCGCTGAATTACAAGTGAACATAAATCCCCCAACGAAAATGGAAGTCCTGAACGCCATAAAGCTACTGAAATGCGGGAAAGCAGCAGGACCAGATGGAATACCGCCAGAAGCACTGAGAACAGATGCAGAGACAACAGCGGACATGCTCACACCACTATTGCAGAAGGTGTGGAGGGAAGAGAAGGTACCTGACGATTGGAAGAAGGGTTACCTTGTCAAACTGCCGAAGAAGGGAGACCTCAGTGCTTGCAAGAACTGGCGCGGAATCACTCTCCTGTCCACCCCAAGTAAAATATTAAGCCGCATCATCCTGGAGAGGCTTAAAGACGCACTGGATTCAAAACTGCGACCGGAACAGGCAGGCTTCAGGAAGTACAAATCATGTGCTGACCAAATTGCAACGCTTCGTATCATCATAGAACAGAGCGTAGAATGGCAATCAGCTCTATACCTCAACTTCATCGACTTTGAGAAGGCCTTTGACAGCGTCGACCGAGAAGTAATTTGGAAACTGCTTCAATACTACGGAGTACCGCAAACCTTTATCCGCCTCATTCAACAACTATATGAAGATGCCACATGCCAAGTAATCCACAATGGGAAGCTCAGTGATGCCTTTGAAGTGAAGACAGGAGTGAAACAAGGTTGCCTACTATCCCCCATGATATTCCTATTGTGGTGGACTGGATCATGCAGCAAACAGTAGGCAGCGAGAAGAGGGGGATACACTGGACGACGGAAAAGAACCTAGAAGACTTGGATTTCGCCGATGACTTATGCCTAATGTCACATAAACTTGAAGATCTGCAGGCAAAAACTAACAAGTTGACAGAGGAGGCAGCTAAGACGGGACTTCAGGTGAATATAGAGAAGACAGAAGTGATGAAGATACCGCACCACCACCATCAACAACAACAACAAACTCCAATCACCGTCAACGGTAGAAACTTGAAGGAAGTAACCTCCTTCACTTATCTAGGAAGCACTGTTTCAACTACAGGCGGGACGGACGAGGACGTCAAAGTCAGAATCGGAAAAGCAAGACAGGCATTCATTAGCCTGAAACCAGTGTGGAGATCTTCTGCACTCAGCATGCGGAACAAGATACGGATTTTCAACACCAACGTCAAGTCAGTGCTCTTGTATGGCTCAGAGACTTGGCGCGTCACGAAAGGCATTTCCAATAAACTACAGACATTCATCAACAACTGCTTACGCTCGCTGCTGAAGATCAGATGGCCAGAAAAAATAAGCAACAAGGAACTCTGGGAACGAACCAACCAAGAACCTATCACGCAACAAATATGCAGGAAGAAGTGGAGATGGATTGGGCATACACTGAGAAGGCCGACTGAGGACATCACGCGTCAGGCCCTCGAGTGGAATCCCCATGGGAAGCGACGAGTTGGACGTCCGAGGGTGACATGGAGGAGGTCGTGCGAGGAGGAAATGAGAGCTTCTGGGCTGTCGTGGAACCAGGTTCAAAAGATCTCAGAGAACAGAGGTCACTGGAGGCGTGCTACTGAAGCCCTATGTTCCACTAGGAACCCAAGGGACTAATAATAATAATAATTTCTGAGAAGCTATACGACTAAGCAGATGGGATATATTGTTGAAAAAAAGTTTACTTCATCCGAAATGCACTCAGCAACCACAAGCACATGCATGGAGCAGACAACAATTCACACGTCGTGAAATAATACTACTACTCCATTATTCAAACCTCATTAGGTGGAGTAGGGTTCGGACTCAAAGCCTTACTGGTCGGTGGTCGAGTGCTGTGGCTCCATGTCTTCATTTCAAAGTACTATCAGAAGAACACGATGCGAATATGCCAACAAGATTTCAACCAATGTACTAAAGTAGGCTATTCAAAAGCCTTCAAACCACCGATAGACTCAGGCCAACTACTCACTAGCTCCTACAACATGCAGTAGTCGGAGTCACCACCTCTCTGAACATTAATCACAAAACCGCACCGGGACTGCTACAGCAAAGAAAACCAACAAGTGGAACAAAGCATTTAAAGTTAACAGAACAAAACATACAACTGGAAGCAATAAGATACCTTAGGCTTAGAAAAAGGTATTGACTAAACACTTATTTACTACTATGATCGATGATGATCCATGTCACCTTAATTCCTTAGCTACAGATTTAAGTCACTACTTGACAATACTGATACCTTTTAGCTTATTTTACAGGCAGTTCCTGATCATCTTGAGGCTCCTTTCATGCTACCACTGCAGCCAACACGATAATCCGAACCAGAGATTAGCTAAGAATGTATGAGACCCTACATCCTTATATAAAACTACTTACTACCTTAAAAGCGTTATGCTGTTTAACAACGCCGAAAACGCTTTGAAAGTATTTGGGGAAATTGATGCCGTCCTTACGTCATCCAACTCCTGCGAACATCTACCAGTATTTAGTTAAATGCAAACTCCTTGGACTAGTCATTCCTTTACGTGGCTTTTTTCTACCTCTCATGAAACACCATGGGTTTTACAAACTTTTGACCAGTCATGTACAAATGCGATACATCCATTTGCCTTCATTAAATGTATTTTCATATAAAAACACTTCTACATGAAATACGAAGAGCTTAAAGACACCAGTCAACTCATAAAAAACTGAATAAACTTTGAGCGACAGCTTTATCTAGATTTTTGTAAGTGACTCAGCTAGGCTTCGATCTAGTCGAACAGAACGAAACGAAACACAAACAAAAAGCCAAGGAAACGTAATTAAGGAAACCTCGCAGACTTACGTTTTGTGCATCAGGTAACGAGGAAGAATTATTTAAGATGTTTTTGCGTCTAGTACTTCTGCCAGCCTTTGATATAGTGGTCTTCTTGATAGCAATTTTGAGTGGGGCTACACTAACAGCATTGTAAGTAACACCCTCACTCTTGGTTTTCCTGATCTTTTGTTTATTACTGTTTGTAAGCCCGTTAACAGCAGAATTTGAAGACACTGTATACGAAGAAGTAGAGGGACCTAAAGCATGTAATGAATCGACCAACTACAAACCTTCACCATCACTATGAGGTGGGATTTCATGGTGAATTTTGTCTGAAAATATTCCTGGATTCTTGTCGAGTATAGTTCGAAGCAACAACGGAGAAGAGAGGGAGTCAACATTCTGATCAGAAGACTTTTCCTTAAATTGCCTGAAAAGATATGTATATATGACAAGTGACTTACACATCGTTATTAACCTTGCTGAAAGCTTTTATAAGTGCGCCCACAAGAGCATCATTCTGACAGTTGATGCATCTGTAAGCCTCCTGAGCAACGTTTTGGTCACTTAGGAGAGTATGACATCTTATGGGCAAATTGGTGGATTTAGGAAGAGGAAGCTCATTGATTATGTTGGTCAAATATTTACATCCACTAAGAGAGATGATAGGAATGCGCCCAATATCCCTGGCATAATATTTAACTTGATCAGCTAATATAATAAATTTGGGCTCATCGTCTAAAATTTCCTCCCTTGATTGGGGATTAGAATCACCAGTCAAGTTACAGGAGCCCCGAAGGTCATCACACGCGCCAGGAATACCTTGAAGTGCTCAATTAATTTCGAACTCCAACTTCCAGGTGTTAGCTTCTTAAATATCTCTCTCGGATTTGTAATGTTTGAAGACATATTATGCTTGAGAAATTAAGTGTGGTTTCTATAGTTCTAAGAGACTTGGTTGGTCAGATGCTTTTAATTATTCAGTTATCATATAATCCGACATCCAATAAAGCAAAATTATGGTTTTCGGGCTCTTGTTCTAGGTATTATGGCTCTGTTTTTCCTCCCCGGCTGCTCCTCTGATAGTTGCAGAAGTCTGCATGTTTTACTTCCAATATCCAACATCAATAGTGCAAGTAGAGGAAACTTGTAGTTTTTGAGCTCTTGCTTCTAGGTCTTGAGGCTTTGTTCTTTTGTTCGGTCGTACTCTTTCGATGGTCGCAGAGGTCTTAGAGTTTTCCTGCTTATAGCTTTGGAGGTATTGTTTGTCTATTTGAAGGTGTTTTATCTGCAAATTGTAGCTTGGTTTGTTTGGGGAGGGGCAACGGAGCTGCTGATAAGATCAATCAACCGTTTGCAATTCCTGTTGTAGTACACACCTGCAAGTAAGTGTTATTATTATTATTATTAGTCCCTTGGGTTCCTAGTGGAACGTAGGGCTTCAGTAGCACGCATCAGTGACCAAGTAAGTGTATAGCTTTACTTAAATAGTGATAGAAACGGGGTGAGTGGGAATGAGAAAAAGAGAAGTGGAAAGTACTTTTGAAACGATAAATGTGGCTGGTAATAATATAGAGGAGAGGTGCGTCTTACTGCAGATACTGGGGTTGGGAAATACAAGGGGAATACAGGGATGGAAGGGCGTATCATCGGTTGCTACTAATACATGTTCGTGGCGAGCCGTTGCGCCCACATACTCATCCAGTGGTCTTTTAAAGGAGTTGACTGTTGTTGCCGAGGCTACTTCTTTCGGCAGCGCATTCCATAAAGCACATACTCTGTGGGAGAAGAAGTTAAATCTCACTCTAGTCTTGCCCTACGGTGGGGTATGCGATTGCGGTTCTCACGGGATTGTCTGTTTTGGACCGATAATATTGTCCTATTCGGTGGTCCACTTGGTGAGTGATCTTGTAGGCTGTTATCAGATCACCTCGTTTTCTTCAATAGCTTATTGTGAACAGGTTGAGTTGTCTGAGGCTTTGCGTATGTATTTTGCCTGTTAGTCCCACAACCAACTTTGTTGCTCTTCTTAGTACCTTCTCGAGAGAATTTGAGTCTCTCTTTAGCACTGGGGGGAGGGCGATAGTGTTAAACACCTCTAGGTGTAGTCTAACGTAGGTCTTAGGTCGCTGGGGTTAACAGTCCAAGTCGCCTTCTTAGAAAGTGCATAAAGGCGTTCGCCTTTGCTGCCATTCCCTTATAATGCCAGTAGTATCCATTGTGCCAGAGAAGTTTAGTCCTAGGTCCTTCTCTGTGTCTACCTTAGTGACTGCACGCTTGTTAAGAGTGTGGTTGATTTTCATCGCCTCTGGTGTGTGAAGATATATCACCTTGCACTTCTCCAAATTAAAGCTTAAGCCATTTTCAGCTGACCAGGACTCCAACTGCGACAGGTCCTTTTCTAGCATCCTAGGATCCTCTTCATCGCCTATTGGCCCTCCACATTTTGATGTTGTCGGCGAATAGAAGGATGGATGAGATTTTAATGGGGAGGTCGTTTATAAGTAGTAAAAATAGGAGTGGTCCAAGGATTGCTCCTTGAGAAACTCCTGTTCTTGCTTTCTTCCAGGTTGATCGAATTCTGTTTACTTTGGTGCAGAATTCCCTATCCTCTAGGTATGCTGTAAGCCATGCTAAGAGTGGTTCAGCAATACCCAGTTTTGCTGGTTTGGCGAGCATAACGCTATCAAAAGCTTTGGCCAAGTCCAAGAAGATAACGTGAACTTGTTGTCTGTTGTCCCATCTAGTGGTTCAGTCATCTCGAACGGTCATCAAGTTTGTGGCACGTGACCGCCCAGTTTTGAAACCATGCTGGGTGGGATGGAAGATATTGTTTCTGTTCAGGTAGTTTCAAACACCACCGCAGCCAGGCTTTCCAGTACCTTGGAAAGTATGGGGAGTATTGCTATTGTTCTGTAGTTAAATGAGTTCTTTTGGTCTCCTCCCTTGAAGATTGGTGAGAGGATGGCGCGTTTCCATTCTTTGGGAGTTGACTTCCGACGAGTGAGTGAACAGGTTGCATATGGGTATGCCTAGAGCTTCGGCACAGTTGCGTAGGACAACCGGTTTTTGTGTCGTCACAGCCCGGGGATTTCCCTACTCTCAGTGTTGAAAGTTTCGCAAACACTTGGTCTGACGAAATCTTCGCCTTCATCAGCTTTGTATCGCAGTCCCGGGTCTTCTTTACATAGCTAGATGTTGGTAGCGGATGCATTACTTGATCGAGTTGCTCGTCAAATCGACTTCTCAACATTTCCACATCTCACTGCTGCTCAAGGGTTCTCCGGCCGACCCTGCGATCAGATTTAAGCCCTTATTAGTCGGTTTGCGCTGTGACATAAACCGATGCAGACTTTTCGGATTGCGGCCCAACTGTTCAGCCAGGTTGCTTTGGTATGTGTACCCGTCATTACGACTTCTCATATTACGCAAGTTTCATAAGGCTTGCAGCTATGACGGTCTGATTCTTTGCATGATGTACGCCACCGGCACCATGCCTTCTTTTTCCTCCCTATTTGTCTTTGGGTTGCACGAGTTACCCAAGACCGTTTGAGAGGTGGCCGTCTGGTCAGTTTTGGAACACCCTTTTCGATAGCGCTCCGGATAATATCTTTAGTCTGTATTCGGTATTCGTCTATCGATAATGAGTCCAATTCTTGCGGCCATGCAGCCTCCAGGAATTCGTTGTTCATTAGGTGGTAGTCTGCTTTTCAGTAACAGCGGAACGCTTCTGGCTCAACTATTGATAGAGTCTCTTTGGTTAGCAGAGAGAATCCTATCAATGCGTGGTCACTGTTACCTAGGGGGGGGGTTGGACACAGATATCGTCTACCAAAAGATCATCGTCTGTTCGAACGTAGTCGAGTGGTGATCCTTTTCCGTCTGGTCCCCATCCAGTGTTCTCCCCAACCTTCTCTGTTAGTCCTGCTACCATGAACGTATTTCGGAGTTCGTGTTCGAAAGATTTATACCCACGTATTACTTCATATCCCGGGTTGAGTGCTGGTGTGATGAAGCCTCCAGTGAGAACTACATGGTCATGGGCTGCCGAGATGGTTGTTGTGATGGCACTGAGCAATTGTGCTTTATGCTCTGTCGCACGAAGGGGAGGCCTATATACTACTCCTATCAGGTACTTGGTTTGGTCTGTGGCGAAACAGCACCGTAAGGAGTCTAGCAGTAAGCTGAACGCACCATCAGTCACTTTCTTGACTTTTAGATGAGTGCTAGCATATATAGCAACTCCTCCGCCTTCTTTGAACTGCCTGTCTTTTCGGAACAGGGTCATGTTAGGCAAACATATTTCCCTATCCACTATGTCTTCTGACAGCCATGTCTCCGTGAGGAGAATTATGTCTACTTGCAGATTAAGGCACATTGCTTTTGGCTCCAGTAGTTTACTCCTAAGACCTCCCACATTGTTATAGAAGCATGCCAAAGAGCTTAGTGAGATATGGTGACTTGTTTGGAGGCTAGTGTGCCGTTGCATCGAATTCTGCCTGCCAGTCCAGTAGGGACTGTTAGGTCTCCATTTTTCGGCCCCTCTTGGCATCCTGCTGCTGGTATGGCTGCATTATTTATAATGCCAGCAGGTAGCTCACTAGCCAATTCTTTTCGGAATAGCACCGCTTGTATTGTTCTCGGAGGTTGCCCTTATCTTCTATTCTGGTAGCTCGTGGTTTACTCTCACAGCAACGTATAACACCTCCTGTATGGTCCTCCACAGAGTACCATGCCGTGAGAGCCTCTGTCAGTGATGCCTTGTGGTCAGAGCTTACAGCTAGCAATCTTGGTGAGAAGTTGCTCTGCAAGTGCGTAGGTTTTGGTAACCTACTTACGCTGCTGGCGGGTAAATTTCTAAGTCCGTTTTCGCTGCTAACCACCCACACTGCTCGATATCATGAAAGTAATTATCACGCTTTGTGGACCTCCCCCGCCAGTTCGGGTGTTCCGTGCGCCATCATGGTTGCAGCTTTGTGCAGGTCACTGAGCGGGACTTCCTCTCTACCTGTCAGGTGACCCAGGGTTTGTCTAGCTTCACCCGTATGGGGCAGGAGCCTGCAATGTCTGGTCGTCGCGACAGCAGCAGCATGTTCTCCGACCGTTTCGCTGTCACTGCCGATACCCTGAGTGGTGACAGCTTGTCTAGAGGCGCTCTACTTCCTCGGGAGAGCCGGCATAAGTTGGCTGCGACGGTTTCTACTCCCAACTTTCTACAGTAGCCATCCCACTTCTCCCTGTCACACCGTTCTCTTTTTTCTAAGAGTGAGTCTGTTGGTGTAGATTTCTGAACAGAATGATGGAATCTGTTCTCTTGTCCTGTAAGTGTGGAATATCGGGCTTGGCAGCCAGTGCTTTCAGTCTACCCCCACCCTATTCGCTTCCGTCCATTCGTTCTCGGAGCAACCCATTTCCTCAGGTTGTTCAGTCCTGTTGAATCATCTGAGTGGCGGTGATACAAGCTAGGA